CCTGGAGGGAGTGGAGAGAGAGAGAGGACTAGAAGATATATTTGAGCAAATCGTAGCTGAGAACTTCCCTAATCTGGGGAATGAAACAAACGTTCGAGTCCTAGAGGCAGAGAGGACCCCTCCTAAGATCAAGGAAAACAGGCCAACACCCCGGCATGTAATAGTAAAACTTGCAAATCTTAGAACCAAGAAAACCATCTTAAGGGCAGTTAGGGGGAAGAGATTCCTTACGTACAGAGGGAGGAACATCAGAATAACGTCAGACCTATCCACAGAGACCTGGCAAGCCAGAAAGGCCTGGCAAGACATATTCAGGGTACTAAATGAGAAGAACATGCAGCCAAGAATACTTTATCTGGAAAGGCTTTCATTTAGAATGGATGGAGAGATGCAGAGCTTCCACAACTGGCAGAAACTGAAAGAATATGTGACTAAGCTGGCCCTGCAAGAAATATTAAGGGGGGTTCTATAAAAGGAGAAAGACCCCAAGAGTGATCTACAACAGAAATTTACAGGCACAATCTATAAAAACAACATCTTCACAGGCAACATGATGACAATTAATTCATATCTTTCAATAATCACTCTCAATGTGAATGGCCTAAACGCTCCCATAAAATGGCACAGGGTTGCAGATTGGATAAAAAGACAGGACCCATCCATATGCTGTCTACAAGAGACTCATTTTGAACCTAAAGATACATCCAGACTGAAAGCGAAGGGATGGAGATCCATCTTCCATGCCAGTGGACCTCAAAAGAAAGCTGGGGTAGCAATTCTTATATCAGACAAATTAGATTTTAAACTAAAGTCTGTAATAAGAGACACAAAAGGACACTATATCATTCTTAAAGGGTCTATCCAACAAGAAGATCTAACAATTGTAAATATCTATGCCCCAAACATGGGAGCAGCCATCTACATAAGCCAATTGTTAACCAAAAAAAAGAGTCATATTGATAACACTAGGTTAATTGTAGGAGACCTCAGTACTCCACTCTCAGCAATGGACAGATCATCTAAGCAGAAAATCACCAAGGAAACAAGAGCTTTGAATGATACATTGGACCAAATGGACATCATAGATATTTACAGAACATTCCACCCTAAAACAACAGAATACTCATTCTTCTCGAGCACACATGGAACTTTCTCCAGAATAGACCATATACTGGGTCACAAATCAGATCTCAACCGATACCAAAAGATTGAGATTATTCCCTGCATATTCTCAGACCACAATGCTCTAAAACTGGAACTCAATCACAAGAAAAAATTTGGCAGAAATTCAAACACTTGGAAGCTAAAGACCGCTCTGCTCAAGAATGTTTGGGTCAACCAGGAAATCAAAGAAGAACTTAAACAATTCATGGAAATCAATGAGAACAAAAACACATTGGTCCAAAACCTATGGGATACTGCAAAGGCAGTCCTAAGGGGGAAATACATAGCCATCCAAGCCTCACTCAAAAAAATAGAAAAATCCCGAGTTAACCAACTAACTCTACACCTTAAAGAACTAGAGAAAAAACAACAGACGATGCCTAAGCCACGCATTAGAAGAGAAATAATTAAAATTAGAGCAGAAATCAATGAATTAGAAACCAGAAACACAATAGATCAGATCAACGAAACTAGAAGTTGGTTCTTTGAAAGAATTAATAAGATCGATAAACCACTGGCCAGACTTATCCAAAAGAAAAGAGAAAAGACCCAAATTATTAAATTATGAATGAAAGGGGAGAGATCATGACTAACATCAAGGAAATAGAAACAATTATTAGAAATTATTATCAACAACTATATGCCAATAAACTGAGCAATCTGGATGAAATGGAGACCTTCCTGGAAACCTATAAGCTGCCAAGACTGAAACAGGAAGAAATTGACAACCTGAATAGGCCAATAACCAGTAACGAGGTTGAAGCAGTGATCAAAAACCTCCCAAAAAACAAGAGTCTAGGGCCTGATGGATTCCCTGGGGAATAATACCAAACATTCAAAGAAGAAATAATACCTATTCTACTGAAGCTGTTTCAAAAAATAGAAACAGAAGGAAAACTTCCAAACTCATTCTATGAGGCCAGCATTATCTTAATCCCCAAACCAGGCAAAGACCCCATCAAACAGGAGAATTTCAGACCGATATCCCTGATGAATATGGATTCCAAAATCCTCAAAAAAATCCTACCTAATAGGATCCAACAATACATTAAAAGGATTATCCACCACGACCAAGTGGGATTTATCCGCGGGATGCAAGGGTGGTTCAACATTTGCAGATCAATCAATGTGATAGAACACATTAATAAGAGGAGGGAGAAGAACCATATGGCCCTCTCAATTGATGCAGAAAAAGCATTTGACAAAATACAACATCCTTTCCTGATTAAAACTCTTCAGAGTATAGGGATAGAGGGAACATTCCTCAAGTTCATAAAATCCAACTATGAAAAACCCACAGCGAATATCATCCTCAATGGGGAAAAGCTGAAAGCCTTTCCCTTAAGATCAGGAACACGTCAAGGATGCCCACTCTCGCCACTATTGTTCAACATAGTACTAGAAGTCCTAGCAACAGCAATCAGACAACAAAAAGAAATAAAAAGTATTAAAATTGTCAAAGAAGAAGTCAAACTCTCTCTTTTCACAGACAACATGATACTTTATGTGGAAAACCCAAAAGACTCTACCCCCAAATTACTAGACCTCATACAGCAATTCAGTAATGTGGCAGGATACAAAATCAATGCACAGAAATCAGTTGCTTTCTTATACACTAACAATGAAACTGTAGAAAGAGAAATTAGAGAAACGATTCCATTTACAATAGCACCAAAAACCATAAGATACCTGGGAATAAACCTAACCAAAGAGGTAAAGGATCTATACTCTAGGAACTACAAAACACTCATGAAAGAAATTGAAGAAGACACAAAAAGATGGAAAAATATTCCATGCTCATGGATCAGAAGAATAAGCATTGTTAAAATGTCTATGCTACCCAGAGCAATCTATACCTTCAATGCCATCCCAATCAAAATTCCAATGACATTTTTCAAAGTGCTGGTACAAACAATCCTAAAATTTGTATGGAATCAGAAAAGACCCCGAATCACCAAGGAAATGTTGAAAAAGAATAACAAAGCTGGGCATCACATTGCCCGATTTCAAGCTATATTACAAAGCTGTGATCACCAAGACAGCATGGTACTGGCACAAAAACAGACATATAGACCAATGGAACAGAATAGAGAACCCAGATATAGACCCTCAACTCTATGGTCAAATAATCTTTGACAAAGCAGGAAAAAATATGCAATGGAAAAAAGACAGTCTCTTCAATAAATTGTGCTGGGAAAATTGGACAGCCACATGCAGAAGAATGAAACTCGACCATTCTCTAACACCATTCACAAAGATAAACTCAAAGTGGATGAAAGACCTCAATGTGAGACAGGAATCCATCCAAATCCTAAAGGAGAACATAGGCAGTAACCTCTTTGACATCACCCACAGCAACTTATTTCAAGATACATCTCCAAAGGCTAGTGAAACAAAAACAAAAATGAACTTTTCGGACTTCATCAAGATAAAAAGCTTCTGCACAGCAAAGGAAACAGTCAACAAAACAAAGAGGAAACCCACAGAATGGGAGAAGATATTTGCAAATGACACTACAGATAAAGGGCTGGTATCCAAGATCTATAAAGAACTTCTCAAACTCAACATCCAAAAAACAAATGATCAAGTCAAAAAATGGGCAGAAGACATGCATAGACACTTCTCCAAAGAAGACATACAGATGGCTAACAGACACATGAAAAAATGTTCATCATCACTAGCCATCAGGGAAATTCAAATCAAAACCACATTAAGATACCACCTTACACCAGTTAGAATGGCAAAAATGGACAGGGAAAGAAACAACAAATGTTGGAGAGGTTGTGGAGAAAGGGGAACCCTCTTACACTGTTGGTGGGAATGCAAGTTGGTACAGCCACTTTGGAAACAGCGTGGCGGTTCCTCAAAAAATTAAAAATAGAGCTACCCTATGACCCAGCAATTGCACTCCCAGGTATTTACCCCAAAGACACAGATGTAGTGAAAAGAAGGGCCACATGCACCGCAATGTTCATAGCAGCAATGTCCCCAATAGCCAAACTATGGAAAGAGCCAAGATGCCCTTCAACAGATGAATGGATAAAGAAGATGTGGCCCATATATACAATCGAATATTACTCAGCCATCAGAAAGGATGAATACCCAACTTTTACATCAACATGGATGGGACTGGAGGAGATTATGCTAAGTGAAATAAGTCAAGCAGAGAAAGTCAATTATCATATGGTTTCACTTATTTGTGGAACATAAGGAATAGCATGGAGGACATTAGGAGAAGGAAGGAAAAATGAAGGGGGGAAATCGGAGGGAGAGACAAACCATGAGAGACTATGGACCCTGAGAAACAAACAGGGTTTTAAAGGGCAGGGGGTAGGGGGGATTGGTTAGCCCAGTGATGGGTATTAAGGAGGGCACACACTGCATAGAGCACAGGGTGTTATACAAAAACAATGAATTATGGATCACCACATCAAAAAATAATGACGTATTTTATGGTGTTAACATAACATAATAAAATTTTAAAATTTTAAAAAATATATATATTTATAAAATAAATAAATAAAAATAAAAGCACAAAGATTTCTTTAAAAATACAACTTAGTCTTCTCCTAAAACCAGAAGTATTAATTTAAAAGTACACTACTCAAGCCAACTTACTACTTGTATAGAGTGGACATTAAATTATTAAATTATTTTTCATTTTACTTTATTAAATAATAAACTTCGCTCTGAAATATGGCTATAAGGAGGAGAAGGACATAAAAAAGAGGGTGGGGAGATTATGCTTGAGAGAAATTCTCTGCACACTCCTGTTTCATTCGCCTGTAACTTCTCTGAAAGAATGAACATATCAAGCAAAAACTGGAATTACTAACCTGGATTCAGCTCTAAGGACAGAGTCTTGTTGCCGGTCACGTGGGAGACAGAGCAGGACACGTTAGACACCTGGCGGTCCTCCCAGTGGCATGTACTCAGGATGGTCACCGTGCCATTGCCCAACTGTTGTTCCACAGTGTGACAGTCTCTCCCTGGGGTCCAGGAGATCCGTGCAGCTGGCTTCCCTGCAGCCCTGCACACCAGGGTTCCATTGCTGCCTCGAAACAGGGTCACCTCGGGGGGCACTGCAGAGATGCAGGGGAAATGCTTCAGGCTTAACACATGGGGTATGGAATAGAGAGAGATTTGGTTCAGTCCCAGATCTGCTTCTCTGACATACCACAATATGTCATGCTCCTTACCTAATAATTGGAGGTGATATCCAAGACCAAAATTCCCATCAGCTGCGGCCACTTCACACCTGTAATATCCATCATGAGTGATGGCCACGGGATCAATCCGAAGGGCAGGATTCTGATCGGGTCTGGACTCCCAGGATATTCTCTCGTCGGTACAGTTTCTTTCACTGGTCTCATTGTTATCTCTCCTGTAGGCTCTAATGCAGGAAGGCTTGTCTCTGAGGTTTATTTCCCACCTTATTATCAGCACATTGGTTAAGCCGACAGGAGGGCAAGTGAGCACAGCCTTTGTAGCCACAGGTACAGACTGAGAAGTGTTAGCTGGACACACACACAAAGAGAAAGAAAAGAAAAGCTTGATAAAAAACTTCAGGTGTTAAATTTTCCACAACATATTACATAAAGTAGTACTAGAACACGACTTTGCTGGTGATCCTATCCCAAAATATTAGACTTACATAAAAAATTAAACATGAACCAAATGGTGTATAACACATTAAACCTAATCCAAAGATGAAACCATTTGTCTCCTATATTCTGTGTTATTAGATAAACTATATTTATTATATGTATGAAATATTTTAAGGGTCTAAAATCGCTTCATAAGTTCTGTATAAAACAAATAAGAAAACACAATTTAAATTAAAGGACAAAGTCATCTAAATCTAATCTTTTGGTAGTAGAAATTATTAGATTTATCTTATAACTGATTCTCCTCAGGACAGAAAGTGGAAAAATTGATGATGTGGTTTTCTCCTCCTAAGTTTTGATCAGAGAGACTAAATCAGTAATATCAGAATGAAATGCCTATCCCGAAGGGTGCCACTTCGGACAAACATAAATAAAAAGCATAAGATGGCATTCAGGTTGAACAAACTGGACTTTTTAAAGCTACTTTTTATTTGGAGAATCACAAAGTCAGTAAAACCAACAGATCTTCCTTCCTTCCTACTGAGTCACACATATACTGCCCAACAGTCCCACTATGAACTTTGCTCACAGATGTTGTTTCTATACATTCTACCTAATTATGAGGATTAAATGAAGAAGTTCACTGCTTTTGCCCATCATTAATGTAAAAATTAAGCCCTGCAACCTATGATTTTTCTCCAAGATAGAAGCCTCAGCTCTCCCATAAACACACATAATGCATGCATGACTGGGGGGGCTTTGCTGAGAGAGGATTAGGGGCATCAGGTACCACATACTGTAACCCAGGTGAGTGGCAGGAAGCTCATCACTTTAACGTGAGCCGAACAAGCTGTGGGGGGCTAAGTTGTTATGTGGGTGAACCTCGTTGTGCTAAACTCTGTATGTGAGGTCTCTCCTCTCCTCTTCTGGTATCACTTGCCCCTTCTGTGATGAACTCAAGACCTTGCATTTCACAGCCAAATCAAGATCCCACAACTGCAGGAAGCAAATGGGGGTGGATTTTAGAGCAGATCTGAGAGGCAGTTAAATCCATGCTCCTTCCACCACTGCAGGTGGCTTCCCACCCTAGGCAACCTGGCCAAGGCTCAGAGGCCAGCAGCAACATAGCTGCTTGGAGAACAGCTAGGGCTGGGTGTGGGTGAGCACACATGTGCCCAAGGGCAGGATGCTGAAGATGAACACAGAAAGAGAAGAGGCTGCTGAGGAGCATGTTGTGAGTGTTCTCTGTTTGCACTTCAGCTTGTGAACAGTCTAAGGCTTTAATATTTTGCCTGATACTTATTCTCAAGATCTGACTCTATTATTTTAAAGGAACCTACGAGCTGATCAATTAAACATATGCATTTTAACAAGGGCACAGTCTCCAGTGAAGTAGCTCCATCGGTGAGGATCCCAAGCACCATGGGTAGTCTCTGTTCTTTCACCTTGCTCTGCTCTATGACCCTCCACCAATCCCCCTTCACCTACAATGAGACTTCTTATGGGATTGCTGTTATTCGCCCTTTCCAATCCTCTTCTTTCTCTTTTCATACCTGTTGTGATAATTTGCCAATGGCCAGTCACTCCCGCACACTCAGTGGGTTGGCACCTGTCCAACAAATATAATCTCCACACACCCTGTGATCAGCTATGGTGATTTCACCTCCAGCTTCACAGAGGGACAGTGGGTAGATACTCATATTTGCTCCAGAACGAGCAGTTGACGTCCCAGCGTTGCTGCATCCTGTGTCTATGACTACCCCCCAGTCTCCTGCAGCCTTCTGCAAACAAAGCCCTTTTCCTTTCTGTTCTCACTGCCTTACCCTAGTTTAAGACCCCATCACCACACACCTGGATCACTACAGAAGCCTACCACCATCTGTCTCTCTCTCAAAACTCTCCTCTCCTCAGTCCGTACCTTACCTTGCAGCCAGGTACATGATTCTGTAACCCAGGGGTGACACTCTCCACTCTGACACCCTTTGGAGATCTCTCACTGCCTGAAGACAACACTTACATGTCTTTGTACTGGCTTTGAAAGCCCTCTTTTTCACATTGACTCACCTTGGCAACCTTATCATCCCTGTGTCGCCCCAACACTTCAAAAAGGAAACAGCAAGCACAAGTGCCTATCTAGGTCTCCCCTCAACGGTTCTTGGAGTCTGGGATGCCTACACAGCACCCTCTGTCTATGAAAACGCTCCTCTTCCTTCAAGAGCCAATTCACATGCTGCATCCTCCTGAAGCCTTCTCAGAGCCTTGGTACTCTCTCTCCCTCCTCTACATCCCCGGCACACCTGATGTGAGGGCTTATCTCCTCTATTTTACAGGGTATCTGTGCTTATTTCTGGGTTCCCCCACAAAACTGAACCCCTTTAGGGCGCTTTGGCAGTCTAGCTCACCTTGCTCATCTCTGTGCTCCCCACAAAGCCTGGCACAGTGCCTGATAGAGAGAACTCCATAATCTTCCCATGGAATTCAATTGCTTTGGGGGAGAGGACCGGGGTCATTCAGGGTCCCCCACACCACAGCATTCAGATCACCATACTCTTCAGCTGGGCTCAAGGCTGGCCCCCTGACCAGACCATCAACTACGTTTCTAAGGAAGTTCCACCCTTCCTCCCGTTAGTTCTGGCTCCTAGAAAAAAATTAAAAAGCATATTACCTTCCACAGGAGGTGTGAGCCTGCTCTGCTTTCCTTCCACAGATGACCTATTTGTTGTAGCTAGAAAATATTCAAAGAAAAGTAAATGAAATCAATTTTAGGTGCCTAAATGGAGTGCAAGCCACTATGTATCCACAAATCGTACAGACACCATGATAGAAAATCAGTTAACTGTAACTAAATTCCACAAAAAGCTTTGCAAAACAGAAATTAGAAGTTATTCCATCAAGTGGAAAAACATGTTAACACTTGAAAATTATGTTAGAAACCCTTAATCAATTATTCCATTTATGGGACACCATACTGTATACTTGACAACAGTTTTGTACAAGGTAGCCTGACTCCATCACTTTCTTAATCATAGTGGATTGGTCCATCATGGGTACCTCACATGAGCTGGGCTGAGTATAGTGCTTTCTAGACATGACACCCCCAGATTAAAGTTGCTTGATCCAGTTGTGAGCACCTCACCCAGATGCCAATCAGATTACTTTCTCAAGAATTTTGGAACCAGTTTGAGAAGAAGCGTTCATCCCTCTTTTTCCCTCATTTTTCCTACTGCGATGGCTAATTTTATGTGTCACCTTGGTTAGGCCATGGCTCCTCACTATTTAGTTAAACAGTATCCTAGATGTGTCTGTGAAAGTATTTTTTAGATGGGATTTACACTTAAATCAGTAGACTTTGAGTAAAACAAAACCCTCCAAAATGTGGGTGGGCCTCATCCAATCAGTTGAAGACCTTAGTAGAAAAAGACTGACCTTCTTGAAAAAGGAATTCTGCCAGCACACTGCCTGCAGATTCAAACTACAACTAACTGTTCCTTGTGTCTTCAGGCTGCTGGCCCACTCTGCAGATTTTGGATTCACCAAGCCTCCACAATCATGTGAGCCAATTCTTTAAAATAAATATTTCTCTAGATACATTGATAGATAGATAGGTAGATAGAGAGATGATAGATGATGATAGATAGATGATAGATGATAGATAGATGATTGATGACAGATAGATGATTGATCGATAGATAGATAGATAGATGATAGATAGATTAGATAGATCTCTCATTGTTCTGTTTCTCCTAGGAACCCTGACTAATACATCTACCTTCTGAAGAATGAAGCAGAAACAGAGAGAGAAGTGACATTCTTCACCTAGCTCAAGTTTCTGTGTATAGTTCCTGAGATCAACATGTATTCCTTTCCTTGCGTTCTGTAGAGTTACTGACAATCAAATAGTTCGAATCTCCTTCAGACTTGGTTTCTGAGAATTCCCATTTAAGTATTGTTTTTTTAAAAAAAACAACAATGAAATATAATACTTCTATGATTTAAGAGCCTAATAAAGTTCTTCCTCTGGGTTTATAAGACCACCATTTAATAAGCATTTTATGAGTCCTCTGTTTATAAAAATGTACTTCTTGCTTCCCATTCTAATTATGTACCCAATTCTACCACATTAAAAAATAAACAAAGAAATTCACTAAAGGTCTAAGAAGTAAGCATAGTTAGGCCTCTAAAATAATTAGGCTTTTTTAGGCAAGTAAGTTGTACTGGCTTGGTCTGGAAAGAAGGCAAAGAATGAAGTTGTGGGGCACCTGGGGGACTCAGTCGGTTAAGCGTCTGCCTTCAGCTCAGGTCATGATCCTGGAGTTCCGGGATCCAGTCCTGCATTGGGCTCCCTGCTCAGCGGAGAGCCTGCTCCTCCCTCTGCCCCTCACCCTGCTCATGCACTCTCTGTCTCTCAAATAAATGAATAAAATATTTTTTGAAAAATGAAGTTGTAACAATTAAATTTAGCTCATATTGGGCTCAAGAATCTATTCCAGGAACAGATAAGTCAGAGATGACTTCAGAGGGCTTACTGAAATCGAGCTATAACTTAGATATTCTATATTTTAAAAGCTCTTTTATAACACAGTATAACTTAGCCTTTCCAGACCTCTCCCATCCTATCACACCCGGCTTCTTAGAGGTCTAAGGTCTGACAGTTTCTTCCTTTGTCAAATTCACCAACAACCAAGACTAAGGGTTTATAATGAGAGAAAATTTAGGATGCGGGTAGTTTTGATGATGGTATTGTAGTTTGCATTTGGAAGTGTCAAAAGGAAATCTCTAAGTTGTATTAGGAATAAGGGATAGAAGTAAGGTGGGCTGGGGGTACTGGAAGAGAAAAATAAAAAACTGCAAACTTTTTCCATAAAGGGCCAAAGAGTAAACATTTGAGGTTTTGCAGTCCATATGGTCTCCATTGAAAGTATTCAATCCTACGATGGCAGCAAGAAAGCAGCCATATATAATACATAAGTCAATGGGCATGGCTTTTTTCCAATAAAATTTTAATTATAAAAATGAGCTGGCTGGATTTTGCCCATGAGAGAGAGTTTACGGACTCTTGATTTAAAGTATAGTGTTTGAAAACTTCATTCAAATCAGTTATGAAGACATCAGTTAATGCCAGACCAGGTTCTTCTAATAGAATCCTATACTATCCAGACATGACTTTAGCTATATCTGATAAGAACGAAGTTGCAGATATTCCCAGACAAGATATCTGCAACCTCTCATGTCAGAGATAAATCTCACAAGTCGGAATGTACTCTTAAGTGTGCAAAAGGATTGTTTTCAGAAGAGAAGAAAATGCTTATTTTCACAAATATTCCTCTAATTACTTTTATGATACTGGAAATACTTTTTAAACTTTGTTAATTGTTGATATATGAGTCCTTTCGTTTTATTATCTCCACTGCAGCTAGTTGCCATGGAATGCTGATTTCATATCAAGTATCTTCATTGAAAATAGAAAGCGTTCTTGTCCAGTCTTGCTTGAAGCTTCATGTACACCAAAGTAGTAAAACAAATGTGTCAACCTTCTGACCAATGGTGCTGTGATTTCTTTATTTATCTGAAACCAAATTTTCTTTAAAGTTCAGAAAGATTATACTGTTACATTAACATCAGAGGTCTAATTTAACACTTTCACAATGTACATATATATAGACCGAAACAAACGTGAATTGTGTTTTTTAAAATATATTTATAGTAGAAAAGTAATTTAATGACTCATTAGATTAGTCACCTAGGGCTGCCTTACTATAAGACGACCAACGTGGTCACATAAAACAACAGAAATGTATTCGCTTCTATTTCTGGAAGCCAGGAGTCTGAAACTAAGATGGCAGCAGGGCTGTGTTCCTTCCAGCAGCTCTAGGAAGAATCCTCCGTGCTTCTTCCAGCTTTTGGTGGCAGCTAGCAATCCTTGGTATTCTTTGGCTTGTAGATGTGTCATTTCAGTCTCTGCGTCTATCTTCATATCGCCTCTTCCTGTGTCCTCTCCTTTTCTCTTCACTTCTAAGGACTCTTGTCATTGGATTTAGGGCCCACTCTCTTCCAGGATGATCTCATCTCAAGCGCTTTAACTTAATTACATCTTTAAAGACCCTTTTTCAAATGCAGCCACATTCACAAGTTTCAGCTGCATATTTCTTTGGGGGGGAACACCATTCAACCCACCATTCTTGGGGGGCACCATTGTTGCATTGTTTCCAACCTTTAGATTTATAGTTTATATAATTATTTTACTTATTTTATTCTGTAGTTGACCAGGAATCTAATTTTTCTAGATGGCGAATAATTGAGTGAAATTAGAAAGCATATTTATAAGTCCAGGAATGCATTTTGAAGTCACCGGAATTATTTTTCAATGAAGTGAGGTATATAACAAAAATAAAAATTTAAAATATAAAGAAAAAGTTAACTATAATGGCAACTTTGGGCGACAGTACGGCTGAGTGGGGAACACAGACAATAAATTACTAATATCAGCTAAGACCTACTTTTTTAAACCCATTTCAAATATTGAATGAAAAATGTAACTTACATTTCAAAAATTGTATGAAAAAATGTTTTTGTTTATTTTATTATGTTCTGTTAGTCACCATACAGTACTTCATTAGTGTTTTGTTTTGTTTTGTTTTGTTTTCATTTTAATTTATTATGTTATGTTACCATACATTACATCATTAGTTTTTCTTTTATTGTGTTATGTTAATCACCATATATTACATCATTAGTTTTTGATGTAGTGTTCCATGATTCATTGTTTGCGTATAACACCCAGTGAAAAATTTTTGACATGCCATTGGTTTGCTTAGTGATCACCATTCTTGAAAAAGATACTAAATAAGCACAGAAATAATTTTAGAGTGAAATATTTATGAACTCTTCATAAAACAATATTATATTTAGACACTTTTAAACAAGAGTCTATAACTACATATAAGGCAATTCAAGTTCTTAACATAAAAACTGTACCAGCATCAAGTACGCTTCTAGTAGAATTATCATTAAAAGATGACCATTACCCAAACTGTAATTGGCCTTACCCATTTGCAGCTGCGTTAAGTTTCTTGGTGTCCCAGAACTTCGCACTCCTGCACGCACATACCCTGAAAAGACATATGCGGTGATCAGAAGAATACACATTAGTATTTTTCTGACTCCTGGGTAAAGTCACACTTTTTTCACATTCTTCAGGCCATTTTTGGATTGCGGTTGCCAATAAAAACATAAGTTATGACAGGCAATAAGTCTCAGGACAATTTGCCCCAGGATGAACTTCTGACTTGAACTTCCTACCTGTTTGGCATACCCCTGCTTTAGATCCAGAGTGTCTGTCACCACCCTCCTGTCTTTATATTCTACTCACAGTATTTCTTATTCCTGGCTTATGTGCATTTACTTCACCTCCAATTGTGAAAGAAATGGCTTTACCATCCATTACAGGCTTTTCAGGCACCAGTGAGTAGGTCAAGAAACGCTAAGTGAAATAAGTCAAGCAGAGAAAGTCAATTATCATATGATTTCACTTATTTGTGGAAAATAAGGAATAGCATGGAGGACATTAGGAGAAGGAAGGGAAAAATGAAGGGGGAAAATTGGAGGGGGAGATGAACTATGAGAGACTATGGACTCTGAGAAAAAAACAGGGTTCTAGAGGGGAGGGGATTCGGGGGATGGGTTAGCCCGGTGATGGGTATTAAAGGAGGGCACGTACTGCACGGAGCACTGGGTGTTATATGAAAACAATGAATCATGGAACACTACATCAAAAACTAGTAATGTACTGTATGGGGACTAAGATAACATAAAAAAATTAAATTAAAAGAAAGAAAGTTTAATAGTGGTATGTTCATTGAGTGTTGGTATGGAACAAAAAAGAATTTTCCTAAGCGTTGTTGAAATCATATCATATAGACAATGGTCTATTAAGTTCAAATTTTGTAAGGCAAGCTCTAAGTAGGAATTGCTAATAAACATTTTTTTTTTTTTGAGCAGCAACTCCTGGCAAAGTACTCATCAAGCATAGAAATATCATAAAAAACAATGCCCTCTTCTCTCCAAGAGCTTAAGGTCCAGGCAAGGAAGCAGCTATTTATACAATTAGAAAGTAAAGTTTTCAGAGTGATGATAGAAACAAGCATAATGTCCAGAAGTTAAAAAGAAAAAATGTTTAATTCTAAGAGAGCAAGGGTAAAAGATTAGGGAAGATTCTCTACAACAGGTGATATTTGGGCTGGATCTCAGTAGATGAGTTCTGCAGGGAGACAGAAGGAAATCTTTTTGCACACAGAAAGAAAGCCATTTAGAAGATAGAAAGCTACTTGGGACTTTCAAAGAATTACGAATAGTTCAGTGTTGCCATTAAGTGCAAAACAACAGATGTGTGATTAGAATTGAGGCTGGATATTGGCAGGTTCTCACTGTGGAGGGCACAAAACTCCTAGAAAGTGTTCACAAGGAAATGATACACTTCTGGTGCATCTAGAGTGGGTGTACCTGACTGGCAAATAGAAACATTTTAGGGTAAGATTTAGTGCACAGTATTTTTCTAGAGAAATTTTGAACCCACTGCTCCTCTGAACTACCCTTTTCTTTAATAAAACATTGTTTTTAAAATAACAATTTTTGAGCATTTGCACAAGGAACAAATTTTGGGTAACTAGCATATGTTATTTATTTCAGCCTCCCCATAGTGACAAGTATTTTAACGTCATTTTACAGATAAAGAAATGTAGACTCATGGTGATGAAGCAGTTTGTCCAAGGCCACCCTGCTTGTAAGCTGCTCTAATTGCCCAATTATTCTTGTGCAAGTAGGTCCTACTACACTGAATAGAAACCAAGGGTTGGATCCTAAGAAATGCACTAGGATAAATATACAACCCAAATTAATCTAAATTAAGAGAGTCAAAGAAGCAAGTCCAAGCCATGTTTTTGGGGAAACACTGAGAGACAAAGGTCTGAAAGAGTATATCAAATGGCAAGAAAATAGAATCGGGATTATAATGGCGTATGGACACAAGCATTATGAATTCTGGATCTGAATAGGAATAGGAATAGTTAAGCTAAGGAGGAGGGTTGGAGACAATCGCCGAAATTTGTGGGCCAAACTCATCACTCCCTCACTAGATTGTAAGCTCCATGAAGGCAGGGATTTTCATCTATGTTTTCCATTCCACATCCTCAGTGCTTAGAAGAGTGGTTTGCACAGCTCCCTGACATGTAGGTGGCTCAAGCTGGGTTAAAAAGATAAAGGTCAACACAGCCTTACAGCAAACTGTACTAAAGATATGGAGAGTTAGTTTACAGAAGCAGTACAAAGGTCTTATAGGAAGATGCTCATACATCATTCATGGTAAAAGAAATGCAAATCAGAACTATGCAGAAATATCGTTTCTCACCTATTAGACTGCCAAAGGCCAAAAATTTGACAATGTACTTTGGAGCTGTGTAGTGATAGGCTGCCGATATAATGCTGATGGGAATGTAGAATGTTACAACTTCAACAGAGGGAAATTTGGCAATATATAGCAAAATTACATATGCATTCCTCTTCTGACCCAGCAATACCAATTCTCAGAATCTATCCTAAAGATACACAGGCAACAGTACGAAAAGAATACATGAACAGGACTATTCATCACAACATTGTAATAGCAAGACTTTTAGAAATAACCCAATGGCCACTCATAGGGGATTAGTTTTCTAAACTATGGTACTTCCACGAAATGAAATATAATGAAACTCTTAAAAAGAATGAGGGATAGTTCTATAAACTATTATGAAGGGATCTCCAAGATATATTGTTAAGTAGAAAAAGTAGGATATACGAAATTGTATATAGTACACTACTGTTCATAAGCTATGATGGGAGGGGTGTGTGTGTGTGTGTGTGTGTGTGTGTGTGTGTGTGTCTGTCTGTTCTTTCTTTCCTTGCTTATAATTTCAAAACTAAATGGATGAAATAGGAACGGGTATAGAAATGATATGTCTCCGATTATATAGATTTGACTTTGGAACTATGTAACCATTTTCCATAATTATAAAGCATAACCAAATTACTTGTAAACACTAAAATCACGAAGCAAAGTGAAACAAATGAACCTAACTGCTCATAGAATAACCACGTATAGAGCAGTTATTCCAACTGACTTTCAAAACACAGCAATTTGACTGTATGTCTCTAGTGGAATATAACTTAACCACAAAAATAATTGCAAAAAAAAATCTTTACCTATTTTCAATAATTATACTGTCAGTGGTAGTGGACACTACACTGGAAAACTTCTGGCAGTTTTTTTTTTTAAGTCAAACATGTGCCCACCATACAGCCTGACCATCCCAATCCTCGGTATTTACTCAAGAGAAATGAAAACATATGTCCACACAAAGACTTGTGCATGAATGCTCATAGCAGCTTCATTCACAACAGCCAAAAGCTGGACACAACCTAAATATCAATTAACAGATAAATCGCCCGTGTGATGGAATACTACTCAGCATCAAAAGGAACGCACAGCAACCTTGAGGATTCTCAAACTCATTCTGTTGTGTGAAACAAGCAGACACAAAGAGTATACACTATACACTACACAAAAAGAATGCTACTAAGATGAAATGTTAGCTCATCTGTCTGTGGTGCCAAACAGCAGATCAGTGGTTGCCTACAGATAGGGACAAAGGCAAGGATGAACTGCAAATATACCTGGAGGAATATTTGGGGAATAATGGGAATGTTCCGTATCTTGTTTGTGATGATTCACAGGAATATGTCAAAACTCATCAAACTGTACCTTTTCAATGGATGCAGTCAATGGTACATAAATTGCCCCTCAATTGAATTAAATACAGTATCAGAAACATCAGATTTTAACACACGTAACATTAGAACATGCATCCACACAAATAAACACAAAACAAAACACAAATGGAAAAACCCTTGACACTGAAAATAATGTTTAAAAAATTTTTCCCATCTAAGTCAAAAGCATCAGTAGAAGTAAGATTGCTTTGTGATTTTAGTACAAATGAAACCTCTTACTCACTTTGAGCACCAGAAGTTTCCTTTCCCAAATCGTCATTGTCATAAGCCTGAGCAAGCATACACCACCCACACAACAGACATTATATGGGCATGACTGTGCAAAGCCATGCTCCAAAGGCTTCCTCCAGTGAGGGGGGCGGGGGAAGGCTCTCAGAAAGAGCACATGGTTTTTTTGTGAGGTTAAACAGTTTTTATCTATTCTCAGATAGCAGAGGGAGAAGCAGACTCCCTGCTGAACAGGGAGCCCGACGTAAGCCTCAGTCCCAGGACCCTGAGATCATGACCTGAGCTGAAGGCAGACACTCAACTGATGGAGCCACTCAGGTGACCCATAACTGGAAGTTTGTACTTTTGACCATTATCTCCCTCTTTTCCCAGTCCGCAGCCCCTAGGAACTCCCATTTTACTGTTTCTATTAATTTAGTTTTTTAAAATTCCACATATAAGTGAGACCATACAGTATTTGTCTTTCTCTATCTGACTTATTTCACTTAGCATAATCCCTTCAAGTTCCGTCCATCTTGTTGCAAATGGCAAGGTGTCCTTTCTCATGGCTAGATAATATTCCGTTGTATATAAATACTGTATTTTCTTTATCCATTCATCCACTGATGGATACTTAGGTTCTTTCCATTTCTTGGCTACAAAACGTGAATGCAGATATCTCTTCGAGATCCTGCTTCCATTTTCTTTGGATATATACTCAGAAGCGGGATTGCTGAATCATATGGTAGCTATTTTGGGGATTTTGAGGAAACTCCATACTGTTTTCCTTAATGGCTGCACCAAATACGCATTCTTACCAATAATTCATGAGGGTTGACTTTTCTCAACATCCTTGTTAAGATTTGTTATTTCTTGTCCTTTTGATGATAGCCATTCTAACAGGCATGAGGTGACATCTCATTGTAGTTTTGATTTTCATTTCCATGATGATTAGTGATGTTGAGTGTCTTTTCATGTACCTGTTGGCTCTTTGTATGTCTTTGGAAAGATGTTTATTCAACTTCTTTGCACATTTTTCTTTATTATTATATTATGTTAATCACCATACATTACATCATTAGTTTTTGATGTATTGTTCCGTGATTCATTGTTTGCGTATAACACCCAGTGCTGCGTGCAGAATGTGCCCTCTTTAATATCCATCACCAGGCTACCCATTGCCCACCCCCCTCCCCTCTAGAACCCTCAGTTTGTTTTTCAGAGTCCATAGTCTCTCATGGTTTGTCTCCCCCTCCGATTTCCCCCACCTTCATTCTTCCCCTCCTGCTATCTTCTTCTTTTTTTAACATATAATGTATTATTTGCTTCAGAGATACATAGCTCTGTGATTCAACAGTCTTGCACACTTCACAGCGCTCAGCATAGCACATACCCTCCCCAATGTCTATCACCCAGCCACCCCATCCCTCCCATCCCCCACCACTCCAGCAACCCTCACTTTGTTTCCTGAGATTAAGAATTCCTCATATCAGTGAGGTCATATGATACATGTCTTTCTCTGATTGACTTATTTCGCTCAGCATAATACCCTCTAGTTCCATCCATGTCGTTGCATATAGCAGGATTTCATTCTTTTTGATGGCTGCATAATATTCCATTGTATATATATACCACCTCTTCTTTAGCCATTCATCTGTCAATGGACATCTTGGCTCTTTCCATAGTTTGGTTATTGTGGACATTGCTGCTATAAACATCAGGGTGCACATAGCCCTTCGGATCCCTACATTTGTGTCTTTGGGGTAAATACCCAGGAGTGCAATTGCTCAATCATATGGTAGCTCTATTTTCAACTTTTTGAAGAACCTCCATACTGTTTTCCAGAGTGGCTGCACCAGCTTGCATTCCCA